CTATATTCTATTATAGAGTTCTGCATGTCATTTCCCCCTCATTTTAGGTTGTTGGTTCACAACTTTCTGTTGCAGGATGAGAAAATTGAACTTTGTTGATTTTCCAAAGATGGGACAAAGCCATTCTTATTTTGCACTGTTCAAAGAGGTATTGCAGACTGTTTTCATAAGACGTAGTCAACTTTGTAATTATGTTCTCTTGAAAGCTTGTACAGTTGAACTTGAAATATGATTATGTCTATAATTTAGGAAATAAATTGCTTACTGGTGTTTGCGATATAAGTTCGTGGAAAAAAAATGGACACAAGAGGCTACTTAAAAAGCCAGCTTCAATAATGTCAATGAGTTGGCACGGAAAGTATCTTGCTTAGTAAGTGCATGGTCTCCTGAAATTTCATTTTTGTAAGAATTATTTTGTTCAGAAAGCATATAATTCCTGAAGTTTCCTTGTGGAAGTACATTAATATGAAAATAAACAGAACTAAGTTTGCATGGGATGGAGAAGAATTAAGCAACACTGATCCAAGACTTTTGATGGTGGGCATTGTTACAATCAAAATATATCTTATATGTAATATTTACTAGCTTGGACTAGTGTGGGCACTCAAAGATTAATGAACAGTTCAGTGTTAAACTAATTGCATGTACTACTTGATCAGATACTATTTTCTGGTTAATAATATTCTGGTACATGTCTAGAGGTTTATGATAGGGGACACAGCTTTGACAGGATGAAAATTAGAATTCATCAAGAGTAGTCTTCATTATCCTTTTATCTTAGTTCGTGTTGTTCTGTTTAAAGTACAAGCTGCTAGGCCTGAAGCCTTATTTATGAATGCGATGATTTAGACCTTTAAAAAATATATTTGGAAGGGTAGCTAATTAAGTTTTGTTAATGTTAAGCATATATATTGCCCTCAGAGAGTGATGTTAAAATTGCAATTTGGCATTAAAGATGATCTCCTTCTACTTGAAGAACTTCTTTTGGTAAGAAGGGAAATATAAGTTTTCATGTTTGAAGCTGGGGATATTATTGTGAAATCCATAATATTCCAAAAGTTTTCACCTTAATGAAGTTTTATTATTAGAAATTAATATAGAAGGAAGCGCAACATCAGTATTTAATAAAATAATTATTATACATTACATTTAACAATATTGTACGTCTTCAATTTTAATGTTTAATATAGAAAGTCATTTTCTTAGAATTTCACTCCTTTAAAAAAACTCAACACCACTTGTTTTAATTCGTCATTCTGCTTTTAGATTTCAATACATTTTTTTTACTGCCCCTAGCCTGGTTGATCGACATCTCTCCTCCAGTAGGAACTAGAGATAATCAACTTTCATAATCCCCACTGCATCTTCTTTTGAACTACTAAAATATTAACAAAAAGAAGCAAAATACAGCATTGAGGCCAACACATTGAGCATCTCAAGTATAATTTCATCTCTATTGGCAATCCAAAAGTGTTAAGAAAAATCCATGCCAGCTGCTCTATGTGTTAAGAAATATCCATGCCAGCTGCTCTATGGACTGAGTATGACCATCCATTGTAAAAATGATTTGATGAATTTGATATTCTTTTATTATTATTATTATTATTATTATTAATTTTTTTTTCTAGTTTTGATACCAGTGGTCAATAGTTTGATTTCAGTTGGTAATTCTTACAAATGAAACCTGACAATCTTTTAACACAGAGGGAGCAAGGATGGGGATGTATGTGTAGTAGAAGTGAAAAGAATGGAGGTTCGTCACTGGAGCAGGAGGCTTCACTTGGGTTCTAATATCGCATCTTTGGAGTTTTGCCCTAGTGAAAGGTAAGATTTGAAATCGAATATTTCTATTTTTTCTGTATTTTGGGGCTTGAAGCTGTCATTCACATACTAAACTTTGAACCAATGATATAACTGGAAACATGTTTTCAGCTGAGAGACTAATGATGAAAATTTTGAAAAATGCATAATAATACACTAGTCCAATGAGGCATTATATTTGGGCAATCTAATGCTATTACTTGTTAAGTGCTTGTTTGAGAGAAATTTTAAGTTGTTGAAATCATGAATTCATAGAAATAGGTGGATAAATGGGGAGTAGTTGTGGGTCCTACTAAATGTGTGATTAAAATTAAGCCTCCGCTTGGCAAAATTTATAAATTATTCATTAATGGTCAAACCTTATCTTCAACAACACATTTCAATAGACCCTTAAATACTATTCACCACCCATTTTTATTTGTTTATAAATTAAACTTTTTATAAATTCTTCCAAGCTGGAGCTAAAGTTTGACTTCGACCTTTAGCAAAAATTATATTAACTTTACATCCCTGTATAATTTGAAATTATTTTTCTGAAGGACTATGAAGAAATCTTCAAAACTTAACAGAATAATGTCTTTCAAATCATTTTACGCTGCAATGTGATCCCAGTTGAAGTGGTCAGCAGAGGAAGAAGTAGACCAAAAATAGCACAACTTGATATGTTTGTAAAGAATTTAACAGCATTATATTTATTGATGGATTTAGCAAAGTAAAGTCTGTCTTATTGTCAAACTACGTAATGTCTTTTAATTAAGAAGTAGGACTGAAATAAACTGTTTGAACATGTTTGGATCTGAGTTTCTTTTAAGCTTAGCCAGACTTGCTCCCTTGCACTTTTTGCAGGGTAATTATTACCAGTTCCACTGAATGGGGAGCAATGGTGACTAAACTAAGTGTTCCTGCTGATTGGAAAGGTCTCTCTTCTCTCTCAAACCCCTCTACCCCTCAAGACTCTGAAACTCGGGCTAATTTTTGTTTTCTTCTTGAATGCAGAGTGGCAAATATATGTACTACTCCTGGGACTATTTTTGGCATCACTCCTTATATTTTACATATTTTTTGAAAATTCTGATTCATTCTGGAAGTTCCTGAAGGATCAACCCTTGAGATCAAATATTGAAACCAATTTGGGAGATCCACAGTCTGATGAGCAAAATATGCGGGGAGCGTTTGGGCCACTTGATAAGTAGTCTTTATTTCCTCTGTAGAATTCAAGGGTGGGACTGGAACGAGAAATTGAAATAATAATAAGGTGCTTGAGACTCTTTTTTAATTATATTCCAGCATTTTTCACTATTATTTTCCATGGCCTTCTCAATCACTAGTTGTATTGGCCAGAGCAAAATCATGTAGTACTGCAGAAATTGAGATTTTTCTCTGACTGATGTTTGCTTTAAGTCAAGTATGCTTCAAACGTGCTACTTCATATGAGTGATGTGATATAATAATAGTTTTTGAGTGATTCTTTGATCAAGGAAGCTCAATCCTTGAAGGTATAGTGGACAGAGGAAGCTAATGAATAGCATTTTTGATGTGTTGAACTCGATAGGGTTGAAAATGATAGGTGAAACATATTACACGAACAACCCTGCTACACGGACTTCTTTGTTGATAGGAAGTTTGACAAATAATGAGATGATATGCAGTTCGACCATTAATTACTCAAATTAATGGTGAAACTGTATGCCACCACATCATTTGTCAACAAAGGTATAAACGATAGATATACAAATAGATTAATTTTTACGCTAATTAGGAATAACTCGTGAATGGACGATGAACAATATTGGATATACAAGTTTCTTTTTCTTTACTATATTGTTCAATGCAGATATCTAGCAGTCTTTCTCATTCTTATCCTCTCAAAACATACCAAACTTCCTCAAATTTATGGAACTATTCCATCTAAGAAGATGTGGAAAAGTAAAAGTAAACCAGATACTAATAAATTTGTTTGACGAAAAACTGTTGAACCAAATTGCTTATACTCGCGTCAACGAGTAAAACTCTCTTAAAATTATTTTATAATAATCATGCTTTGGTTTCACAACCATCATTTAGATGAGGTGTTATAACCTGTTTCGTCTGGTCAATAGCCTATAGTTTAAGCTCAATTTAATTTGGAATTTGATGCAGTTAGACATGCCCGACATAACATGTGAAAAGTTTCGATTTCTACAATCAAGCCACGTCAAATTTGACCGTAAAAGGTCTGTGAAGTTACGCATGAGCCAAATACTACTTCGGCCTGGGTTACCTCAAATTTTGGTCCAATTTGTATCATTGTATAATCAACTCTAGTATGGGTACTTTGGTATATCGTGTGTTCAATTAGTTGAAACTTAATGTTTGGAAAATGTTTATAAATAACTTATATCATAAAACAATATAATTATGGGCGGATTCAGAGACGGGCTACGCCGTGCTACAGTCTGTCCTTTCGGCCCAAATGTCTATTAACAAAAAACTTAAGTAAATTTTTATTTTTATTTTTATGTGTAATATTTTTTTTATACGTATTAGCCTGTCTTGAATTTTTTCCTGGATTCGCCACTGAATATAATGATTTGTGAGTCCTAATGTGGGAATAAAAAATTGTACGGGTATTTATAAACAATTTATATACATGAATGAATGTTGAGGCCATGTTTGAGCCACATTTTTTCAAAAAAAAAAAAAATTATTCTTGAATAGTAATTTGATATCATTTCAACCACACATTTTTCAATAAAATAATATTACACGCAAATTCAAAACTTTCTTTATAATATTACACGCAAATTCAAAACTTTCTTTCTTTTTTAATAACACATTTTCTATTAATACACTATTCAAAAATGCATTTTAAGAAAAATAATGTTGCTTAAACAAGGGCTGACTTAATGGATCCAAAAAAGCTTTTTTCGATGACTGTGTAGGAACTACTCAAATAATTTAAAAACTAGTCCGAGTTGTAGACTTCGTCCTTTTAGCATATTCGTAGTTAATGAAATTGAGATTGTGAATAATGCTATTTGATGAAATTTTGGTTTAATCAAATCTCATCATATCATTTGTTAGTAAACAAATTTGTACGTTGTCACACTCTCTCTCTCTCTCACACACACAGAGAGAGCACAACCATTAGATATTTGGATGCTTGAAAAAATATCTTTATTTATTTAAATTATTTTATAGAATCTCCCAAAAGATTATCCCTTTTTTGTTCGATTCAATCCCATGAGAACCTGAAAATATCAATCAGAAACTCTCTCTCTCTCTCTCTCTCTCTCTTTCACACGCGCGCGTGCGCAGTGTACCAGATTCGCTTCTTACTCGGCTTCATTCCACCGCTCTGCAGTTTCAGATGAATTGCCTTCCGAATCTTCCAAGGTTTGTGCTAATCTACGGGCTTATCGATTCTGGATTGAGTCAATCATTTCATATTTGTTAATATTTCGTGTTTCAGATCCTCTGCATTGCCTCTGCAGAGCTTCAAAAACTATGCCAGAAGTCTTCGATGTCCCGTCATTATACTAGTAAGAGGAATTAAAGTCTAGACGAACAATGAAAATTCAAAAATATTGAATTTACATTTCCATATGGATGGTAATATGTTCTAATTAATGTGCTATTTGGAGGGTTGTTCGTTTGTATAATAATTTTTTTATGATTGTGATTCAGGGTGTGGAGAGAGGTATTGATTTATCACAGACACAAGTTAATGTTTTAAAGGTAAGATTTGAAAGGGAATTTCTCCATTTATTTATTTATTTATTTTTTTAAATATATTACCGAGTGATTCTTTAGTCAACTTTGTTACTCATTCAATATGTTTTCACCTTTTAAGCTTGCTAAATAAATAATTACAGGTTGACCTACAATTTCAAGTTTCAACTGATTTTGAATTATAATCAATTTGACATGTGGAGGGATGGTTATGGAACACTAAAATTACTCTTATATAGCAAAAAATCCGTTAATATTTCATTGAATTCATTAATTTTCTAATTGTTTCACTCAATTTTTTAGGCAGTATCTGGTTCTGCATCCAGCACTGAAAATGAAAATGAGAAAATGGAGAAATCTGAAACTTACAGTCATGACATGACTGCGGCTATGGGAGCCGGTGAGTGAAGCATTTACTTGATACCACTGCTCGATAGCTTAGGAAAAAAAGTAGCATTTATAGGAAGATTCATGCAGATCATTTCTTTCCCTGATTCTCTGATCCAATTTTTTTAAACTCTGAGTGAATTATTGAAGAAATTTTCTTCATGTGCCTAGTTTATGATTACGTTATTTTAGGTGTATAGTATAATTTGGCTAATCTTTTCGTTAACATTGTATTTCTACAGTCTTAACCTATAGGCATGAACTTGGAATGAACTACAACTTCATTCGTCCAGACCTGATTGTAGGATCATGCCCTCAGGTAATAAGCATTTCCCCTCTAGATGCAAAAGATGTTATATTCTCTTAAGTAATCTTCTGAGTCATGCTTCACTTCACATATGAAAGAGTCCGGAAGATGTTGACAAGCTTCGCAGCATTGGAGTGAAAACTATCTTTTGCTTACAACAAGATTCGGATCTTGAGTATCCAACTAATTCATATAGATTTATTGAATGGGATTATTCTGCTAAAGTTATAGTTGTTAGCTATTGGGATGGATTCCTACATCCCTTCTAGAATTTTGTGGTTTTTGTTTAAGTCCTTAAACACAGTTCTTAAGATATTTTAGCGTTGATATCCGTGCTATCCGTGAATACGCCAACAGCTTCAGTGACATCCAACATTTACGTGCTGCAATAAGGTTGGTAATGGAATTAAATGCACACAGATTGGTTTTGAGATGATAAGCTTCAAACTTGAAATCTTTCACTAGTATGTAACCATGCATGTTTTAGTGATCTAAACTCAAAAGTGACGTTATATCTCTGTATGCAAGGGTGGATTTTGCATCTGGCCAGTGGCGTCGACTGCCCTGCGCTGATTTCAAAATTTTAGTTTTGCTCTAAGAAAAATCTAAATTTTATAGTCTTGACCCCACAACAAATAAATACTATAACTTCATTATAATGTCGTGAAAGTGCAACCAGCCTGGCGGTGAAGCTTCCTACTTATTGTTATGTAGATTTAGTTTCAAATTTCAGCTGACTTATTAATTTTTCCATTTTATGTTTCTTTTGAGAAGTTTGTGCAATTAGATAATTATTCCCCTCCCTTTAGCATTTGTAGGAAATTTATCCCAACCTTTAAAAATTGACTATTCAGACTCCAATCTTTAGTTTAATTTGCATATATGGGCCCCATTAGGGAGTTATTTTGAGAATTGATTTTGTGACCATTAGGAGAAAGGTGGGGGCCACCTGTGAGAGAAGAAGTCAAACTTTACGGCTGAAATAGTGAAATAACAGTTAAAAAATGAGGTGAAAAATCATTGCCTAACACCCCCATGATCTTTTTACATAATGTCATAAACTTCAGCTTAAATTACTCACATTTTAGAAGGGTAAAGTTCGCAAAACACTAATTTTAACTTCTAGACCTTAAAGTTTTATTCATTTCCTTTTTCAAAATAAAAAGACAAAATAACCTTTCTTTTTTAACGAACAAATCTCATAAAAATATGGTCAAGGTTTTAAAATGTTTTACTTGACTATGTTTTTTCTTCACTTACTATTGGGAAATAGATTTTGTAAATTTTGATTACTTTTAAAAAATTACAAAGTTTTCAAATCAACTAATTGATTTGTTTGTTTTCCTCGAATGCCGATATTTCTACCAGCTATTGCAGCTCGCTGACTATTATAGGCACTACAAGCTATTATAGTTTTGCAGGCATATAGCATCGTAACAGCTATAGTGCTCCCACAAGCTAAAAATCCTAACTCCGTCCTTAGCTGTATGCATTTTTATCTTGACCTTTTCTTAGATTCTATAATGTCATTTCTGTTTGAGTGACCACGATTTTTTTTACCATAGTAATATTGCCCTCTAAGTGAAAATTTCTGACTTTTGACGTTGGAATCTGGGAATTATATAAATACATTAATAGCAAATTAAGCCTTGTCTCTAATAAATCTTGAGTAGGTTCCATGAATTCCTTTTCCCTCCATTGTCAATCATTACATTTACCTCATGTTCCAACGCAATCAGATCCTTTACAACTGCTGGCTGGGAAAGATTATGATTTCTAAAATTTGTTGATTTACATCACTCAACACGGGGTAGTTGAATTAGCAATCAAAAGACATTTTCTTTTTCTGATTTATTTATGAGTACTTTTCTTCTTCCACTTATAACGACATCTGTTCTGCTACCTGTATTTCTTTTGTGCCTGCATGTGTATACATAAAGTAAAAAGAGAAGAAGATACACGATTTATCTATGACACACATGTAAAATACTTAACCTATGCATTTATCTTTTCCTAGCAAAAATAATTTTTATTTTAATTTGATCGTGTACAGTAAACAAACTAAGCTTTATTTATGATATATTTGGATTCGGTTATCCATTCATCCATGGTTGTATCCACTTGAAAGATATAATATCAAATATGTTACAACCACAACGGGGCAATAATTTTTGTCTACCTCTCTCCCTTATAACATGTTGTACTGCAATGGAATCATTGTATGTTTCCATTTCTTATCTTGTCGATGATAATAAAGCAAGAAGCCTATCTTAACATCCTCATTTCTGACACTTTCATCTTGTGCACATTGTCATTAACAACTTTAGATTTCAGTTGTAGAAATCAGGTCTAATAACTGTTCTATAAAACTTGTAAGTTTAACCTTGTAAGTATTTGCAGTCTACGAACACGCCTTTATTTTGCTCTCAGCAGACACAGAGGGATGCTTGGAACTGGGTGTTGTCAGTGATCAGCTGTGCTAAAAAAGGTTATTATGTGAAGGGCAGAGTAAAGGAAAATCTTTTTGTATAGTCTAGTAGATTGGAGCATGTAAAGAAAGAGTCAAATATTTAGCTGTAGTTTGCTATTTTCTTAGATTTCATGTTCATTCACTTCAGAAAAATTGTATAAGATGCATTCTCCAACACTTAGCTCATAATACGGAAACATATTGCAGTTTTCCACTTAACATGACATTTATATGTATTTATTAATCAGAGATTTTGATGCATTTGATCTGCGGATGCGCTTTCCAGCAGTCGTAAGCAAATTACACAAAGCTATTAATCGAAATGGGGGTGTAACTTATGTACATTGCACAGCTGGCCTTGGAAGAGCTCCAGCAGTTGCGGTATGCATGACAGGCTTTTAAATTATCTTCTTGTTTCACTTATCTTAATTAATTTTCTTTATATATGTGTATTATTTTATTTTTTCGGTGGAGGTGGATATATTCTTCTATAAGTATTTCTAAACTAGAAGTTTGTCCAGATTCGCAATGAAATGTAAACACTGATTAGATATGCTAATAGATCTGAACAATATCTGGATTACCGTTAAACAATATTTGGATATGATCTGAACAAAAAGGGTAGTAGTATGTGAATAAGAAACTGTTATAGCCTACGCTCTGATTATCAAGGTTTGGTTCTCTTTACTGGCAAATTATTTTTCGAGAATGTTAATATTTTAGAAAGGAAGACTAAATGAGAAAAAATTATCTGCATCACTTCCCAGATGAAATAAGGCAACCTTCCCCTGTGGATGTTTAGGTGGTGGGAAAGAGTTTACAACTGACGAATAATTTGTGAGGGTTGTCACTTGGCGGCCGTAGGCAGTGTCAATTGCTATAGAAGCCAGCCATTGCTTGTAGAAAGTGGAATAGATAGATTAAGGATACATAATAGGAAGAGGAACAACACTTGACAAACTTTTCCATAAAGAAACATGAACAATAACCTGGAAAGTATTTTTATAGTATGAATTCAGCCCAAACCCTTTCTAAAAAATTAAAATGAAAATGCACAACAGAGTTGCTTGAGAAGGTCATCTGGCAGCAGATGCATTGCATGCTTCGCTGTTATACTATTATTTATGACACTTCGATTAGAAATATGTTTGATATATTTTTCATGAAGAACTAACAAGATTTTGGTTTAAAATACAGTTGGCTTACATGTTCTGGGTTCAAGGCTATAAGCTCAGTGAAGCACACAATCTACTAATGGTAATATATCTACTTATTCTTTATGCATGCCTAATCATTCATTAGCTAGTAATATTTCATGTAACTTTAGACTTGTGTTTCACTGTTGCAAATGTTTTGTCTATTTTTTCTTTTCTTATGACAGCTCTGATTTTTTTGTTGGTGAAGTCGTCTAACCAGAGCTGATGGCTTCTTTATACCAAAATCACCAAGTTTCCCGGCATTTAGAAGAAACTATACTGCAAATTTTGAAATTATACATTGTCATATTTTTCTAACAAGGATATCACAATAGACTAAGATATATATTTATTTCTCTCTCTTTGCAGAGCAAGCGCTCGAGCTTTCCAAAGCTGGATGCAATCAAAAGTGCGACTGTTGATATTGTGAGTCCTTGTTTCCCTTGAACATAAAATTGATGTCCTATTTAATAATCCAGGACTACAAATTTCACTTATTCACGTCCAAAAGTTGATACATTAGGGGTTGGCTCCATTGAAAATACTTATGATATAAATCACTTTAGATGCCAATGTCTTGGGATCCATTTGGTCATGCTTCCAAAAACTATGCTCTGAAAATGACGATTAGGATATTGATTTTGGATGATATTTTTGATTCTATGATCCGGTTCATCTTGTATTTAGTTGCACAAATTTTTTGATTTAAGTGTATAATTTATAGTATGACAAACTTAACCAGTACATTTGAACTCGTCAATCAGTAATATTAGAAAACTCAGGCTATTGTTTTATAAGCTTTTGGAACATTCTAACATGTGTTCATCATTCTAAATTAATAATACAGGTTTTTTTTCTTTCGTGTTCCAATGGGATGGATGTATAATGAATGCTCAGACTTTACTGAAATTTGGAAGTTTGCTGAGACTTTACTGAAATTTTAAAGTAATTAAATTTACTAGAAAATTCTAAATGGAACAGGCTTTGCAGTTTGTAATCTATTCCAAAAACTTCTAAATGATGTTAACAGTTGTTTCTGTTGCATTGGTATCTTTCTCTTACTTTCCTAATGCAGTTGAGCTGGTCTGTTTTTGAACTTCTCTTCACGATGTGATTTACAACACTGTATCTGGAGTACCAAAATTAATTTTGGAGCCTGGCTAGAGCCTTTTTATTGTTTTATGTAGGCTATTTTATTTCCTATATGCATCATGATATAGGAAAAGCTCTTTTAATATTTTTGAATTAACCTTTCTCCTGTTTAAAGCTTACAGGCCTAAAAAAGAAGCCGGTAACATTGACATGGAATGGCATCGACTGTTCGACAGTGGAAATCTCAGGACTTGATGTTGGATGGGGTCAGGTAATAGTTGAGGGCATCTAACAACCTCTTTTCTAGAAAGTCTATCCAGTCGAATTGTATTTTTGTTGCCCTACAGAAAATTTGTGCGTGTAGTTCCTGTGTTATCTGACTTCAATGTGACGTTATATTTGGCAACACAAAAATGTTAAGTGGGTTTATCTTAGCATGAGACGAATTCACTCTTCAATTTGTATCAAGAATTAGCTACATCAATCGGAAGTCCCAACTGTATGCTAGTTTCCCTATCTAAATTGATTTTCTTCATTAGACTTCAATTTTCAGTTCACCAGTCTGTGCCTCAAGTATCAATTACCTGAAAGAAGTATTGTGTACTGCTGAGTATTATGTTGAATTTAGAAGTTACAAAACCAACTGACGTGAGCTTCAAGTATCCATTAATTGCAAATCTGCCTCTCTATTTCTATCACACAGGCAACATATGTTCTGTTCACAGAAGCTTGATACCTTGTGTAAATGGGAGTTAAATTTCGACATTTTAGCTCGACATTAGTTTTCGGATGTGTAGAGAACTTAGAAACATGATTGACGTGATTTGCTTATGATAATTCTCTTTACAACTTCTTCCATGTATTAGCTAATTTAATTTAATAGTACTGATGACATTGTGATAATTTTTCTGATAATTCTTTTCAGAGAATACCTTTGAAGTATGATGAGGAACAAGGTATATGGATTCTCCATAGAGAATTGCCTGTAAGTATATTGAAATTCTTATTAGTACTTGTTACTACTAGTCACTTCACTGGATTGTTTGTTTATATTGAGAGTGAATCTGATGGCTTTCGAGGTTAACTTTTTCTCCTTTATAAGGTAGCATTATTGAATCAAAATATGCACCCGTATCAGAAAAACATGATACCATATTTAGCTTCCAACTGCCATCCAATTTATGCACTTTTGTAATCATAGCTTTTTGGTTGATTAAATTTTACCATCACAAGATCACGATACATATGCTTGGTCTTCAATAATTAATCACTTTTTGTGCAATATAATTGCTCTGCAAGTGCTAAGCTTTTGAATTAGCTTCATAGGAAAGAAGTGTAACTTTGTCAATCTGGTTGGATTAAATCATTGGCTTTTTTCCATAAACAGGAAGGGCAATATGAGTACAAGTACATTATTGATGGTGAATGGATGTGCAATAAGTACGAGCTCGTCACTAGCCCCAACAAAGATGGACATGTCAACAATTATGTTAAGGTGTCGTTTCACCTAATATTTTTCAGTTCTTATTTCTAAGGAATGCATTTAATGCTGCGAGCAGGGCCTCATCTTGCATAAGTAATTGCTACTTGACCCTTCTTCGAAGGCTTTATTGTAGAGCCTTAAGGAATGAAGTTCCTTTTCAGCCATAACCAAAACTAATCAGTAAGTTGAAGCGCAAGGTCTGAAGAGGAAAATTAATGGGAAAACTAATGAATGTGGGCATAATCTAAGCGTTGGTGAAGATTTACTAGAACCACTCTCTACATTTATTTTCAAACTCTGCTTCTTTATCCCAAATTTATTTTCAAACCCGCGTTGAACTATTTGACAAACTGTGTCTAGTATATCAATTTCATTCTTTGTATGCAGGTGTTTGGCAGTGACCACAGTAGCATTGATGCTGCAATTTGGAATAGGCTAACTGGTAACAACCCTGTTCTTACAACCAATGAACGTTGCATAATTAGACAATTTCTTGAAGCTTGTCCCGATGAGGACTAATTATATCGGCATAATGAGTTACTAGTTAACATACATGTAAAGTAGTATACAAATTGTTACTTCCCAATAATCACCTGTATCTATGCACAGAATGCAATAATACATGTTATGCTTATAAATGAAAGCATAATACTATTAATGGACGGCAAAATGATGTTATAAATCCCTCAGTTGTGGACCTTTTCTTTTTGCCATTGATGGTACCATAACATGTCTCTGTGAATTTTGGTGTGGTACTTCGCCCTGCTGAACAGTTTTAAGATGTAGCTTAGAAGTTCCCATTTTTTTTTTTCTCCTGAAATGTATAGACCCATGTTTCATAGAAGTTGCTTTTAAGCTTAGCCAAATATGTTTTAGTTTGAGTAAGAAACTTGGATAATTTTTTTCTTTACGTTGTTGTTGAAGTTTCATAGCACATAAAGATTGAAATGTTCGTGTACTTTGTTCGTCACCATAGCTTCACCTCAGGAGTTTTGACACTAAAAGTGTGTTTGATTGACATGGAAAATATCACCTAGAAAAGAAAATGTTTTCCATCTTTTGTGGAAAATAAAAATCACCTCTATCTAAGGAAAATATTTTCCTTAAAAACATGGAAAATTAGTCATATTTTCAAAAGTTGGAAAATGTTTTCTATGGAAAAAAAATAGCAATCAAACAGTCCAAGTAGGAATTTGGGTGGAAAATCGATATTTTTCATGGAAAATAAATGTAATCAAACACACCGTAAATGATCGTTTGTGATTGTGTTTTGTCAAAATCTCATACGTTGCATTGTCCTCATAATAATCTAGACTCTCTCCTTTTTCTTCTTCTTTTTTCTCCTTTTTTTTTTTTTAGCTCAGTAGACTGGGCATGCCGGCTATCACAAAAATATTTTACAAGGTTCAGAAAAAGAGAAGTCAGGTCAAGTAACCTTGTCACTTGGGCTACTAGCACTTAGTTTAGCTTTGCATCACAGTCACTTGAGTGGCTAGAATGTGAATGGATGCAATCAGAAAATTAATGCAAACCACTTGCACGAGTAGATTCCTAAGATGTGCAATAGTTCTCCATGGAACTTAGGGTTCATTGATAGAATAGAGGCCAATAGTTGTCAATTTTGCATGAGCGGGGCAAGGAAAAAGGATGTAAGTAGGCCTTTGACATGGTCGACCAACGTTATACTAGTATTATTTAATTTTTTACGTGATGTTACAAATTAAATAGTAGTTCGACTTGTCACTAGCTTTGAGCTTTTTGTTTAGTAGAGCAAGTGCATTTCGAATATGTAAATAAATTGTGAGAATGAAAGAAAGCATGACCGTCTAAAATCATTAACAATTTATGAGTTTAGCGTTGGTCCACCTAGACACACAAAATATTATTATTTAAAAATAAATAAATAAAATAATCTAAACATGATAGTACTTAATTTTAACTTAAAATTGATCTATTAATTTATTGATTAGATTTACGGGAAATTAAAAAAAAAAAAAAAAGAAAGAAAGTCATTTGTGGGCTAAATTAAAAAGTAATGAGTTGTTGTGGATGTTCCATTTGGCGATACAACATGCACATGGATTACAGTACATTTTGAGACGAATAAAGAATAATGATGACACTTCGGTATTTGCCTGCTTTTTGAAGCATCCACTTTGATATTTGTTCCATATGTCAAATGCCTGTAAAGGGCATAATTAAAAACTAAAGTTTGATTATTCGTCAAGCTTCTAACACCAGTCACAGGATTAATTGGCTTATTAGAAGGAAAGTTCAAATTTTAGATCGGATAAATGTCGATTTGAAAAATCAAAATTCATTTTTTGCTTCTTTGATGTAACATTAAAATTGTACTGTCCGAGTTGTTCAGTTATAAAGAATTGTGCTTACCTCTTCGCAATATTATCTTCGTCACCCACTTTACATTTGAGTTTTTTCTACTTGTATCTTTTTTTTATTGGTCTTCATTATTCTTTCTTTCTTGGACATGTTTCATTCTTCTTTGGGATTGGATCTGGAAAGCATGAATGGAAACTGGAAAAAGTTACAAATAATAATAATAAGAATGTTTAGTAGTGTGAAGTAAGCTTGACTTGGCATTAGGAATAAAGATGGTGGTTATATCAAGAAATCTTCAGTTATTGTCTGAAAAGTAAAACATAAGAATTAATTACAATTTCCGAGGTGAATATTATTAATATTGCCCACACAATCATTGCACATGATTCCATGCTACGTGAAGTTGGATTTACATTAAATTTACCGCGGTTAATAATTTATAAGAAGCTTGCTCCAGATCCAGGCCTAGGGACAGGCTTAAAAATAGGAGGTTGAGGTGGGTGCACCTCAGCCCTTGATTTCCCTTGAATCAATTGAAATCAAGGGTCGAGGTGGGTGCCACCTCAATCCCTTGTTTTTAGGCCTGTTTTTTGGTCTGAATAAGGAGCATTTTTGAATTTATAAATTGTTATGTTCCTTGAATAAGGATTGCTGACGTGGAGAGGTGACAAGGTCGGACTTGGTATTGTACTAAAAAAAAATTATCTAATTATATATTGATACGTATTCACTCTATCATTGACTCTGTCGTTGAGTTTGTCACTATAGCAAGATTGATTTATAAATTTATAAAAGTAATATTCATGTTTAACTTGCAAGAAATCTTACTAGCTACATGATAATTGGTTGGGAAAGAATCTAGCCTATGTTTTGTCCTCATCTTATTAAAAACTCATTCTCTTAAAACTTATATTTAACCATACATTCGTCAAACAATCACTATTCTAAATCTAAAATATATTTTCTTACCAAAATGTGGCTAAAATAGAAATTAGATTTTTTGAGTTATGAGAAAAATTATAAATATGAAGCTTACTCCTTCTGTCCTATAAAAAATATGTTTGCTTTCTTTTTCGTCTATTCCAAATTATTGACTATTTTCCGTGTTGAGAATATAGTTAATCTTTTTATTCTCTAATATTTTCATATTTAATGTGCTTTGTTCTTATCAAATATGAACTATTCATATTTAAATTATTATTTAATGTTGGGGTATATTAGAAAAAAATTATATTTTCAACTACATTAATTACATTTTCTTAATCTGTATGAATATAGATACAAGGCTATCTTTGTGGGATGGAGAGAGTAAATATATGATAATTATTTTATTAGGACATTTGTTCAAAAGATAGTTAATTATCATCATGAAAAATTTTCGACGATAATTATTATAGATAGAAGTTTGATTTTTTAAACACCGCTGTGTTATAACACACATGGTTTGAGGGTGACTTATTTGAAAAATAAGCATTAAACATTACACGATTTTGTCTCATGTAATTTTAATATTCTCGAGACGAGACATGCACTGATGACAATGTCAATTACGTGTTAGATCTAGCATCAAAGCTAGTTGACATCCCTAATAAGACGAAAACATGGCTCACGAGTGTCTATACAAAGCAGTGTCATGGATGCATATAAGTCTGAGATCCACTAGAGATATACTGGATGAATCCTATCAAATGTGTAAATTATACCAATGTAATTTCAATTATGTCATGTAAATCTTATATTTCCAATAATGTAAGGTGGTTACTTAGGATTCAAAAATAATTTATATATATATATATAGCACTGGGGGTGTGATAGGATTTCAAAAGATGGATGCAATATGATTTTCTTTCATATCACATCTTGTAGTAAAAACTAAAAAAGTTTTGTTGTGTCATTTCGCTTTTTCTCTTGTAAAAGATGCTTTTAGTTTCTTATTTTATGTATTTATTCCTATCAAATTATTTTATACTTTATCATAATCTCTCACCTAAATTGAAATGGTTCTAAAAGATTGTGCGAAAGTATAGAGAGCAAGGTTATAAGAATAATGGAGAGATGAAATTTCTTCGAAGAAAGGCTTTGTTTGGATAGGGGAAAAAGGATTAATTCTTGTACTCAGTTACTTGTATATCAATCAATTTTGGAATAAAGTAGATTAATCAACTTTAAATAGAAAAAAGCTAATTTTTAAAAAGGTTGTTAAGTGCATCATTGCATGTTTGCTAAATGATTAAATAAAATCCAAATGTTATTACTTTTGAGTTTTGGGATTGTGTGGATAATAAGCGAGTTATAGATAAAAGTTTTGTTTGACTATTAGCTTATAAATTACAATCCATTTCCAAAGACATTTTATATAGTAGCTTACATTTGAAACTAAAACAATTTTAATAATAAGATTAGTTTTTACCAAGTTCATCGATAGAAGGCTTTTTCAGAACCTCGCCAAAAAATAATGTGTTTTGGAATTGTCAAAATAATTAGATCGGACCGACTAGTTCAACTGGAACAATCATTAATTGCTATGGTTAGAAGTCGAAAGTTGAAAAATTAGACCTCATCAAACCTAACAACTTACCAAACCTTCTACTCCAAAATTAATCACCTCAAACCAGAAATTTCATCCGATTTGACTTCTTAGCATTTACTTTTTTTAGGTCAATACTCGCATCGTCTTCTAAAATAATGGTTCTAGAATGTGATTTCACCGAATAGAAATGGACCCGCGAGGTGAAAATGGCAAATAAAGGGAGCAAAAAGATGAATATTTAGGTGTTAGAATGCCCATATTGATGTTGTGAAAGAGTGAGAATGAAGCATATGGAGTAGGGTAAGGGAACCACATTTCACGTGGAAAGATTCATTGGATTGCATTTGGTAAAACCAACCAACCAAAGAAATATTATCCCTATTATTATAGTTCATTCATTAAGATCTGGTAGATAGATAGGCGTATTCAAGGCTCTACTATGGTATCCTATGCACCATTTCAACAAATTATTTCATTTTTTTTTCTATGTCCAACCATGTGTTGTAAGAACGATAATGTGCCCATTAATTCGATTGATAAAAGTGAATTACCAAATTTCGTTTACACACTATTTGAAAATTTAGGTGTACAACATACAAACTCAATTTTCGCATACGAGAGAAATAGAGGTTGGTGAGGAATCAAAATATATAGTTTTGGTTAAAGTCGAGCATGAGGTAGCGTGAAATATGCCTTGAACATGCCATGATGAATATGTAGTTGGACCCTAAGCACACTAGCCATTTGTCACACTTGTGACAAATAGCTAAAGATTGAATCACATTTTTCACATACAAGGATAATTAATTGAAACGTGGATTAAAATTAATTCTTTTATTGTCCATAAGATAATCAATGAGTTTGTAGAAACTTATAGAATAAGAATTCAAATATGCACAAAATTTTAAAAATATTTTTTTGTCCCTTTCTTTAATTAAATTTGATTGGAATAACCAAGTTGTTATCTTTGGTTCTAGACTTACAATTTCTTTTCATAATTTCACCAAAAATAAAAAAAAAAAAAAAGGAAAAAGAAAAAAAGCTAAAATTTCGATTCGTGAAAGTTATAGTTCGTATTATCTATTATTTTTTACCAAGAAGAAGATAATACCTTCTATAACCTTATTTCTTTTTCAAGTTCGATTTTAGTTAAACCGGTAAGAATTTACACGTAATTTTGAAAAACGAAGTGAAGATGGTTCATAGCCCCATTTGGTGGGGATTAAAATTAGATTTTTAATAAATTTTGATAAAAAAAATTTAAAACGTGTGATTGAAAAGTTATGGTCCTGTAAAAGATATGGCTAATATTGGTAGATTGACTTTGATTTAGATTAAAATCAATACAAAAAAAAGGGACATAAAGCGCGTTGGCTGTGGTGGGTGTCCATTTAGTTATCACTTTTTGGCTTTTTGCCCGTTAACGTAAATTGTAAACTTCCACATGACAAATCCCAAAAGTGAAAACCATCAAATTAGTTGATAGAAAAAGGCTTTTACGCTTCCTTCACTGTCTTACCTATTCAGATTCTTTAATTTCTTATATTTAGGGTTCTGGGGTTAATTACATGTATTTACTGCAAATTATCACTTTCTAAAAATGTCAAAGAAAATTAGGAAAATTTGTATAAATGTTAGCATGATTTCTTGATCTCTTTATAGTCATTTAACTATAGTTTTGATATTTTATAAGTAGCATGAGTGAAATCATAAATTTAAAATTCCTCAACTTTGAACATTTGATTTGTAATTCTTGTTTTATCTATATTTTCTCATGTTTGATTTGTTGATAGGATATAGTACAAGTAATAAGATTTAACTCTTTTTTCTTAACACAATTCAAGAATAATTTGTATATTATTAAAGGTTTCCAATTTCCTAGGGAAGCAATCAAGCACTTGGAGCACTGTCAACATTAAAAGTGGCTTTGGAGTCGGGAATTAGGGCCTCGTTCCTTGTTTGTCAATCATTTTCCCACATTCTATCACAATATTTTTTCTATAGTACTCATTTTCAACCACACATTCTTCATTAAAATAATATTACACATAAATAAAAAACTTTTCATTCTTTTTTAGCAACACATTTCAACATCAATCACTATTTCATACTCTAATTTTTGAAATTAAAGGACCACAAACAGGCATGAGTGGTTGTGAAGCATGCTCGAAAGTATTTCAAGAGGAATAAGTCTACTTACACTTATTTTGTATATAATGAATTACACCCCATCATATGAAGGGGCCCGCATACGGCTCGCATACAATAAAATATATGCGAGCCCCTCCATGTGAGGTGGTGTAATCAATTATGTACACAAGAAGTGTACATGTACTTATCACTCTTCTTGTTTTATTTATTCGCTACTATATATTTTTGAACATTATTTAATTTAATCATGTCGATGAAGTGAGGTTTTGAAAGGTAGATTGGGTGTATAATCTTGAACCCAAGAAATGTTTTTAACACAAGAAAAAAAGGGAGGGAGCCACAAACTTTTGTTAACCAGGAAATGACTTACAAGAAAAGGCCAAATATTTGTGAGTTAACTTAAAAAAGTAGAGTGAGTTGCAGAAAAAATATGTAACAATTATGATATAGACATGTTACAAAGTGTCAGGATAAAGAAATATCAACCACCTTTCCCTCTATCAATTACCTTCCAATGCACGCCACCACCCCACCACACTTTCTCCTCATCCAGTTTTGTTACTAAGAGCATGTTTGGTGCAACTTAAAATCCAATTAAAATTAATTTTTTATTGTTATTTCACTACTTATTTTCGAATTCTTCTCTCACGAGAAGGACCCACTTTATCTCTAACGATTAAAAAATCAATTAACAAAATCTCTACTAAACAAGCACTAAGTAAAGAAAAAAATTGACAAAATTCTTAGAAAAAAATAGTTGGCAATTTTTTTTATTGATTTTGGATACAACAAACACAAAAATTACATCATATAAATGCTGTCAACGCAGCACCGTTATCATTTCTGTCAATAATTTCTTGTACCATGGAATTATTCTCTTCTCATCTTATACATTGAAGGTTGATTTCAATACTGGTCATTCAAGTTCGCTAAAAATTTCAAAATGGTCATTCAAGTATTTTTCTTACAGTAATGTTCACACGAGTTTCTACTTAGCCAAAACTAAACTAGAAAAACTTACTTGACACCATTAAATGCTGATATGGACACAAATTGCATTACCTAATACGCCGTATCAAATGTTTATAGTCTTATTTATGTATTACGCTTTTAGGTATGAATGTTTTATTTAATATGTTTGGCTGGTGTCACGTATTGGTTGACGCCATATGTATCCATGCTGGTATTTAAAGGTGACGTATAAGATTCTTGGTTAACGTTTCTAGTCTAATGATCATAAGTGTAATAATTAAAAGTAACAAACTACTGCAAGAAAAATACTTTAATAACCATTTTGAAAATTTTAACAAACTTGAATGACTATTGCTGAAAATAACCCATTCATGGAGTAAAACCCATTCCTTTTCCTCTTCTATATATTGAAGCAGATCTCACACCTTCTCGTCTTCCATTTCTTGTCCACAGCCTCTCTCCGCCCACGCCCACCAAGATACAATGTCTACAGATCTTGAATTCCGACAAGAATTGCTCGAAATCAGATTACCAGCTATAAAGATCAACTCTTCACAATCATCTGAAGATCAAAATTGCACGAATAAAACCCCAATCAATGATCAAGATTGCCACACACCGAAGTCTCCACAAAACATGATTCCCAAGATCCTCAGTTGCCCACCAGCCCCGAAAAAACCGACCCGGGTGCCCTCATGCAAGAGAAAATTATCAGAATTGCAGTTCTTCAATGTGGTTTCGAGAGAAGAGATTGAATCGTTCTTCAGAATTGCTGAGGCAAAAATCAACGGCGCCAAAAAGAGAAGATGCTTTGAGTAAATCAGAAAGAGAATTTAATTACACTGTGGAGTTTTATATATAGTTCGAACTGCAAGATCAGGTAGAGTTACATTTGTAATTACACGTTTGTTTTTAATTGTGAAAATTATGATTTTAAATTCATGAAAAGTTGTTCCCGAAATCAGACTAAATTTGGATCTGAATTATATATAGGGTACAGACATAGATTTGAGATGTATTTGTTTTTTCCTGCTTATGATTCATCTATTAAACTTGTTTATTTTCTTTTATATAAACCTAAATTTTAGCATCCTTTTTTCTCATATTGTCTAAAAACTGGATTGAAATGGTATGAAAGGTCATAGAAGGGAAATTTTAAGGGAATTTGGAGTTGTTTATTATTTATTTATTTATTTATTTACTTGTGAACGGAATTAGTTGTAAGTATTAATATTTTTTCTTAAGTTGGTATGAAGGTTGATCTGTATAATGTTTGACATTACTTTCTTTGAGTAACTGACACGGCTTTGGGATTGATAATTAAACAAAACTATTTAATTTCTTGACTAAATATATTTAGATATTGTTTGCTTAGTCATGCAATATAATTATTTATGGTTGGCATAGGGATCATTTTCCCTGTTTAATTATTCATAAATTTAGAATTATTCGGGTATGTTAAGACACTTTCACACGGTACTAAATTGGATGATTTTTCAATTTTTTATTTAATACTGCACAATTTGCAAATAAATATCTTTTCCATATCTCATATATTACATTTTCCTATGTGCCAATAATGTCTTCAGAATTAAATGACGCGAGACAAAAAAAGGATGGACACTTTATCAAATCAACGATGCATGCCAAATTTTTACTTCTTTTGTTTTCGTCAAATTTCATTTAACGCGCTACACTTGATAAGTAAATGTAGGTCGGATAATCTAAAGTAGTGATTAATTACTTGATTTCGGCTAGATTCAAATTAATTTTCACAATTTGCAAATAAATATCTTTTCCATATCTCATATATTACATTTTCCTATGTGCCAATAATGTCTTCAGAATTAAATGACGTGAGACAAAAAAAGGATGGACACTTTATCAAATCAGCTATGCATGCCAAATTTTTACTTCTTTTGTTTTCGCCAAATTTCATTTAACGCGCTACACTTGATAAGTAAATGTAGATCGGATAAATTAAAGTAGTGATTAATTACTTGATCTCGGCTAGATTCAAATTAAGTTTGATATGGTTTGAGATATCTTGTCGTTGTCTGATCCTTATCAAGAGGTTAATCATGTAAAGGTTGCGATTCAATTTTTAGAAATTAATAAAAGACATTCTTTGTCTTCCCATATTATATGACTCTATTTATCGAAAGTATGATTAATTTTTTAGTTTTCTAATGTCTCTGTTTAATGTGTCTCGTTATTAAAAAAATATGAAATACTCATATTTAAACTATTATGTAATATAGGGGTATATTAGGAAAATGAAAAAAAAAATTATATTTTCTTAATTTGCGTTAAAAATGAAAATAAGTCTATTTTTAGGAAGGAGTATATATTTCTTTTTCTATTGAGTCTTCGATCGTTTTGAACTCAATTCACAGCTTTGTATCAACTTAGCTTCACTCTGACGAGTCTAAGGAAGCTTTAGCTAATGAGTAGTAAAAGTAGATTAGCTAAACTTAGTCACATATTACCAAGGAATAATAACTAAGAAGCCTTTATACAAGAGCTTAAGTCTTAAGCCACGAATAGTATCTTGATTTCCATGGAATGAAGCAAACTCTGAGCAACCAATTGTACCTCAACAAATCTTTGATATGTGTGTGAATAATATAATAATTAAATTTTTTATTTCATTAATATTATTTAATACTATACATCTTCCTAGATGACTTAACGATATTCAAAATATACGTAGAATAAAAGGCAAGTGTGTACGTTGACATACTTGAGAACAATGGAATTATCGTTTATGGACTTATTCAATTTCTGAAATTTATGAAATATAACAAATATTTTTACTCTTCGTTTTCTTTGTTTACTTATTTTTCACTTTCGGGTGGGGTTTCTTTTTCTAATTGAAGAAATAATTGAAGAATATAATAACAATTACAAAAATACGTAAGAATCCCAATAGAGATTGGTGCGATTCAGTTCAACATTTTGTTAGGTGCCCACTAATCGAGAAGAGCAATGCTACATGCATATTTATATTTTTTGGATAAATATATATGTACAAACAAATGTGTACAAAATGAGTTACTTACTCTCATAAACAAGCAGTCCTCACGTGAATTTAAAAAATGTTGGGTTGTGGTCTCCACCTTCTATTATGAGTAGTGGGTAAAGAATTTTGCAAAAAAAAGTTTGTAAGTGTAGCATAATTCATATTTTTTATCTAATTCTTTACCAACTACTCATAACAGGGAGTAGGGACTACATTTGAAAATTTTTATATTCACACTGAGTTCACGTGCATTGTGAGAAGAGGGATGACTTTCAGCACCTCTAGTTTAGTACAAATAGAATTATTCAACCAAGAATACACGTACGGTATTTGCTACCAATAATCACATTCTTAGGTACAAATTCAAAAGCGCCAACTCGATTGTTTGACCATGCAAAACATGCTTATCGTGTTAATTTGAAAAATCTTTCTCAGCCGCAGATTAAACCAATAAAAAATAACTGTTATCTTTCGTGTGTGATAATATAATTGATACGTTCAATTGTGTCGTGTCGGATCTTACTTCTTCGACACCAATAACGTTGATTATTTGCAGAAAGGAAATCTACGTATGAGCAGACACAAACTGAGAAAAAGAAAAGAGAAATCTCAAGAAGAGACAAATAAAAACACAGTAATTTGTACCTTTTGTCATGTGAAGACAGACAATTGTGCCACCCCCGAAAGATATATTCTTACGTTACAAAAATGGGTTACATCCATGATGGCTATCCAAGGGCCTTTTTAGATTATGAGGTCAAAAATTAATGTGTAATTTTTTAAAATAATATAATATTAATAAAAATAAGTTAAAAAGTATTTTAACACCTTGAAAATATTTTATAATTATATCATTATTAATATTGATAAATAAATTTTGCTATACGTATAGTTTTGTTTACCGTGTCATTTATGAATGTTGAGCTAACGACGAATAAATCAAATTATATGTAGGAACTAAATGAATTGAAATAAAATTCACATTTAATTTAGGAAGTAAATGAAATGTAAGTTTAACGAAAAAATAATTTGAAAGTAATTCAATTTAAATTTAATCCGTAACAATTTTAGAATTTTTGACTTCATTTTTCATGTAAAATTTCCTAATAAATTGATGTAATTTATATTGAAAAACTTATTGTGCAAAAATAATAAACGTCAATGAAATAATTGAATTTTTTTAAAAGAAAAACAAATTTAATGCTTCTTTTAGTATGTACGTTTGACGCATGTTTAACAATTTCTGATATCTATTTATATCAATCGATATAACTATGATGTAGTTCTTGAAACGAGCTTCTAGATTTTGCATGCGATTTGTGGATTCGGATAGTATACGATCATCGGCAAATTTTAAAAATTAGCATATTATCGAAATTTTTGAAATACTGATTTGGAACGGCCTACTTCGATACATCTTAACATTTGTTATGGTTAATCATTCCGCACGCCATTAAGAAGTAAAAAACTAGGTCATGAGCGCTTCGAAATGATACTAAGAATGTAATGTTTTGGCCTTCCGAGGCACATCCCAACTGGCAAAGGACAGAGTTCTTCAAAGCGGGCAGTTCAGAGGTCGCGAGTTCGATTCATGGGGCTCTTGGAAGGTAGGCATTCTCTTGGAAGGCAGGATATTTCCTGGAAGCTAGGAGTTCTCCTGGAAGGTAAGACACATACATGAGTTTGACTCGCTTGACACTTTGACAGTTCAATTGGGAGGGCTCTTGGACCCTAACCAGTTTGGGGCACAACCTGCGGTTTAAATGGTCTGCGTGAAGAAGGGCTGGATCGTAGGTCCCAGAAACAAAAAAAAAAAAAAAAAAAAAAGAATGTAATGTTTTGACTTCATTTGGCATGTATTAAAGTATTTTGTAAAATTGTCAAAACAACTATTTTCCATAAAAATAAAAAAATAAACCAAAAATTTGTGGGGTCATTTGACCTATGTGAGTCCGCCCCTATGGCTATCCAATTTTATACTTAATGTCATCATAGTCATCCAACTTTATGTTTACTATCACAATGATTATCCAATTTCGTATAAGATTTCACCACGATCATTCAATTTCATATAACGTTTCATGTCTATCCAACTTCTTTTCACTTATAATTATAAAAGATGTAAATAAAAAATAGATTTTAAAAAAATTAAAAACATGTTTTTTATTTTAAAAGCCTTTTTTAAAAATAAGTTTTTATTTTATTTTATTTTTCTAAGTAACTTTTTTAAAATAAGTTTTTATTTTATTTTAAAAACATTTATTTTCAAATAAGTTTTTTTATTTTATTTAGTTTTTTAAGGAATTTTTACAAATAATTTTTTACTTTATTTTATTTTATTTTACAAAGTAATTTTTTTAAAAATAAATTTTTATTTTTTAAGTAATGTTTTTTAAATAAGTTGATATTTTATTTTTTAATTTATTTTATATTTATAAGTAAAGTTCGGTTTTACCCCTTTTAAATTAGTGAAAATGGTGAAAAAGTTGGGTGGTCTTAGTGAAATGTTATATAAAATTGGATGGTCATAGTGAAACTTTGTATCAAATTACGTGGTTATGGTGAAATAAAATCAAATTGGATGATAATGATGACACTAATTATAAAGTTGGGTGACCATGACGAGACAAAATCAACTCAAATAGTCATGATGACACTAATTGGTGGATTTAACCCTTACAAAAGGGTTGAATATATTACATATATTTGCTATTGGAAATGGGAAATTTGCTCTGGTTTTATAATCATTTTTTTAAAACTCTTTTTTCTCATACTCATTCTTAATCACACATTTTCACAATAAAATATTCTTTATGTAAAACCAATTTTTTTTCCTACTTTTATAAACCATACATTCTCCAAAAATTTACTATCCAAAAATTCATTCTTCCCAAAAGATAGCTATCAAATAGGAGCTTAATTCCAATGTCGTATGGGTATATATGTCATTAATATTACTTTTGAATGTATTCTGAAATTCTGAAGAGCAATATGTGTTGGATATTGGTTAAATAAATTGAGAATTGAAAATCGATTAAAGTTCGTATCGAATTCGGCCAAATACTCAAAAGCCCGACTCAA